GTGGTGTGGGTGGTGTGGGTGGTGTGCGTGGTGTGAGTGGTGTGGGTGGTGTGGGTGGTGTGCGTGGTGTACGTGGTGTGCGTGGTGTGCGTGGTGTACGTGGTGTGAGTGGTGTGGGTGGTGTGGGTGGTGTATGTGGTGTGGGTGGTGTGCGTGGTGTACGTGGTGTGGGTGGTGTGCGTGGTGTGAGTGGTGTGGGTGGTGTGGGTGGTGTGCGTGGTGTGGGTGGTGTGAGTGGTGTGGGTGGTGTGCGTGGTGTACGTGGTGTGGGTGGTGTGCGTGGTGTGAGTGGTGTGGGTGGTGTGGGTGGTGTGCGTGGTGCGCGTGGTGTGCGTGGTGTGAGTGGTGTGGGTGGTGTGGGTGGTGTACGTGGTGTGGGTGGTGTGCGTGGTGTGGGTGGTGTGAGTGGTGTGGGTGGTGTGCGTGGTGTACGTGGTGTGGGTGGTGTGCGTGGTGTGCGTGGTGTGAGTGGTGTGGGTGGTGTGGGTAGCGTGGGTGGCGTGGGTGGTGTGCGTGGTGTGAGTGGTGTGGGTGGTGTGGGTAGCGTGGGTGGTGTGCGTGGTGTGCGTGGTGTACGTGGTGTAGGTGGTGTGCGTGGGGTGCGTGGTGTGAGTGGTGTGCGTGGTGTACGTGGTGTGCGTGGTGTGCGTGGTGTGCGTGGTGTGCGTGGTGTGAGTGGTGTGGGTGGTGTGGGTGGTGTGCGTGGTGTGCGTGGTGTACGTGGTGTGGGTGGTGTGCGTGGTGTGCGTGGTGTGCGTGGTGTGAGTGGTGTGGGTGGTGTGGGTGGTGTACGTGGTGTGGGTGGTGTGCGTGGTGTACGTGGTCTGGGTGGTGTGCGTGGTGTGCGTGGTGTGCGTGGTGTGAGTGGTGTGCGTGGTGTGAGTGGTGTGGGTAGCGTGGGTGGCGTGGGTGGTGTGGGTGTGTGGTGTGGGTGGGGTGGGTGGTGTGCGTGGTGTGCGTGGTGTGGGTGGTGTGCGTGGTGTGGGTGGTGTGGGTGGGGTGGGGTGGGTGGTGTGCGTGGTGTGGGTGGTGTGTTTTGTGTGTGGTGTGGGTGTGAATGGTGTGAGTGGTGTGGGTGGTGTGGATGGTGTGCATGGGGTGGGTGGTGTGCGTGGTGTGGGTGGTGTGCGTGATGTGGGTGGTGTGGGTGGTGTGTGTGGTGTGTGTGGTGTGGGTGGTGTGTGTGGTGTGTGTGGGGGGTGGGTGGTGTGGGTGGTGTGTGTGGTGTGGGTGGTGTATTTTGTGTGTGGTGTGGATGGTGTGAGTGGAGTGGGTGGGGTGGGTGGTGTGCGTGGTGTGTGTGGTGTTGGTGGTGTGGGTGGTGTGCGTGGTGTGTGTGTTGTGTGTGTGGTGTGGGTGGGGTGTGTGGGGTGCGTGGTGTGCGTGGTGTGGGTGGTGTGCGTGGTGTGTGTGGTGTGTGGGTGGTGCGGGTGGTCTGGGTGGTGGGGTGGTGTGTGTGGTGTTGGTGGTGTGGGTGGTGTGCGTGGTGTGTGTGGTGTGTGTGGTGTGGGTGGTGTGTGTGGGTGCGTGGTGTGCGTGGTTTGGGTGGTGTGCGTGGTGTGTGTGGTGTGTGTGTGGTGTGGCTGGTGTGGGTGGTGTGCGTGGTGTGTGTGGTGTGCATGGTGTGGGTGGTGTGCGTGGTGTGCGTGGTGAGCATGGTGTGGGTGGTGTGGGTGGTGTGCGTGGTGTGCGTGGTATGCGTGGTGTGTGTGGTGTGTGTGGTGTTGGCGGAGTGGGTGGTGTGGGTGGAGTGGGTGGTGTGTGTGTGGTGTGGTTGGTATGGGTGTGTGGTTTGGGTGGTGAGCGTGGTGTGGGTGGGGTGGGTGGTGTGTGTGGTGTGCGTGGTGTGCGTGGTGTGGTTGGTGTGCGTAGTGTGGGTGGTGTGCGTGGTGTGCGTGGTGTGGGTGGTGTGCGTGGTGTGGGTGGTGTGGGTTGGGTGGGTGGTGTGCGTGGTGTGGGTGGTGTGGGTGGCTGGGTGGGGTGGGTGGTGTGCGTGGTGTGGGTGGTGTGGGTGGCGTGGGTGGCGTGGGTGTGTGGTGTGGGTGGTGTGGGTGGGGTGCGTGGTGTGGGTGGTGTGGGTGGTGTGCGTGGTGTGAGTGGTGTGGGAGGCGTGGGTTGTGTGCGTGGTGTGGGTGGTGTGGGTGGTGTGGGTGGGGTGGGTGGGGTGGGTGGTGTGCGTGGTGTGGGTGGTGTGTTTTGTGTGTGGTGTGGATGGTGTGAGTGGTGTGGGTGGTGTGGGTGGTGTGCATGGGGTGGGTGGTGTGCGTGGTGTTGGTGGGGTGGGTGGTGTGCGTGATGTGGGTGGTGTGGGTGGTGTGTGTGGTGTGTGTGGTGTGGGTGGTGTGGGTGGTGTGTGTGGTGTGGGTGGTGTATTTAGTGTGTGGTGTGGATGGTGTGAGTGGAGTGCGTGGTGTGGGTGGTGTTGGTGGTGTGCGTGGTGTGGGTGGTGTGGGTGGGTTGGGTGGTGTGGCTGGTGTGTGTGGTGTATGTGGGGTGGGTGGTGTGAGTGGTGTGTGTGGTGTGGGTGGTGTGGGTGGTGTGCGTGGTGTGGGTGGTGTGCGTGGTGTGGGTGGTGTGGGTGGTGTGTGTGATGTGTGTGGTGTGGGTGGTGTGTGTAGTGTGCGTGGTGTGGGTGGTGTGCGTGGTGTAGGTGGTGTGAGTGGTGTGTGTGGTGTGGGTTGTTGTGCGTGGTGTGGGTGGTGTGTGTGGTGTGGGTGGTGTGTGTGGTGTGGGTGGGGTGGGTGGTGTGGGTGGGGTGGGTGGTGTGGGTGGTGTGCGTGGTGTGGGTGGTGTTGGTGGTGTGGATGGTGTGTGTGGTGTGGGTGGTGTGGGTGGTTCAGGTGGTGTGTGTCGTGTGGGTGATGTAGGTGGTGTGAGTGGTGTGGGTAGTTTGGGTGGTGTGGGTGATGTAGGTGGTGTGCGTGGTGTGTGTGGTGTTGGTGGTGTGGGTGGTTTGGGGTGGTGTTGGTGGTGTGTGTGGTGTGGGTGGTGTGGGTGGTGCGGCTGGTGTGCGTGGTGTGCGTGGTGTGCGTGGTGTGCGTGGTGTGGGTGGTGTGGGTGGTGTGGGGGTGTGGGTGGTGTTGGTGGTGTGGGTGGTGCGGGTGGTGTGAGTGGTGTGAGTGGTGTGAGTGGTGTGGGTGGTGTGGGTGGTGTGGGTGGTGTGTGTGGTGTGGGGGTGTGGGTGGTGTTGGTGGTGTGAGTGGTGCTGGTGGTGTGAGTGGTGTGACTGGTGTGGGTGGTGTGGGTGGTGTGGGTGGGTGGTGTGGGTGGTGTGGGTGGCTTGGGTGGTGTTGGTGGGTGGTGTAGGTGGTGTGGATGGTGTGCGTGTTGTGTGTGGTGTGGGGGGTGTGGGTGGTGTTGGTGGTGTGGGTGGTGCGGGTGGTGTGAGTGGTGTATGTGGTGTGGGTGGTGTGGGTGGTGTGGGTGGGTGGTGTGGGTGGTGTGGGTGGTGTGGGTGGTGTGCGTGGGGTGGGTGGTGTGGGTGGTGTGCGTGGTGTGCGTGGAGTGTGTGGTGTGGGTGGCTGGGTGGGGTGGGTGTGTGAGTGGTGTGAGTGGTGTGGGTGGTGTGGGTGGTGTGGATGGTGTGCGTGGTGTGTGTGGTGTGTGTGGTGTGGGTGGTGTGTGTGGTGTGGGTGGTGTGGGTGGTGTGGGTGGTGTGTCTGGTGTGGGTGATGTAGGTGGTGTGGGTGGTGTGGGTGATGTTGGTGGTGTGGGTGGTGTGGGTGGGGTGAGTGATGTAGATGGTGTGCGTGGTGTGTGTGGTGTTGGTGGTGTGGGTGGTGTGGGGTGGTGTTGGTGGTGTGCGTGGTGTGGGTGGTTGT